GAATGTACACGGACCCTGTCACTATTTGGTTTCTTGGATCAACAAACTCCTCCTGAAGTTCTTCCACTTTTTGACGCTTTGACTTGTTTGCAAAGAAATTTGTTTGAGGATTTTTTCGAACTTGTTAAAGTTCACGGAGCACAGTGAGATACTAGCTTTAAACAATCAAAAGAAGAGTAAAATGCAAATAAATGAAGGCTAAGTAACTTACWTTCTTCTCCTTACAACTTCCAAAAATCGATATTTTAAATGATATTCTGATAAAATCTTTACGTAAAGCTTGACACCTGTTGGACCGGAGCGACTTGTTTCTCACCTTTCTTTGGATAGTTTGACCGTCTGCCTCCCTGGACGGCCTCTCCTGTGAGATGGAGAAACAACCACAACAAGCAGGAGTTATTTTACTAACAGGAGGCAAAATGAGTCAAACTCATGTTTTACTTACTTTTTTCTCTGTAGTCTGGATCTCTGTTTCCCTCACAGTCCTCTCCTTCAGCAGGAAACAGATGAAACCCAGAGTTAGAGAACAAACAGAGCGTAAACAAGTTCCAGTACAACTATAGGCGTAATTTGCAGGGGGGTTAGGGGGGTTATGACCCCCACAATATTTTGATCCAGTCAATATAACCCCCCCACCCCCCCCATAAAGTGACATCGCTAACACAGTAGAAATTAACTGATTAAGTAGACAGATGCAACTCTCGTGTTGTCTTTAGAAAACTTTGACCTGATTAAAAAATTTACGATATCATATATGTACGTTTTAATCGCTGAAAATGACATGCAGGGTTTTAGAGCTCCCCCACCCCCAACCAATGGTAGACCTAAAGTTATGCCCTTGCAACCAGAAAGTCAATATTTACAGGAATTATAATTTTCCTGCGAGTTAGCAAAGATTTTTTTCTTCCCAGCTGGTGAATCTTAATATCCAATGTTCTGAGGTCCTTTTTATCAAATTTGACTGAATCCTCAGTTTGATGTGACGGGTCACAGATGGTAGTGCTGGGCGGTATACCGGCTTTTATTTTTGTTATGATATGAATTTTCTGACTTGACATACCGATGGAAATAGCCTGAACACGCGGAACGTTACATCGTGCCCTCCAGTGAACTGTTTCACGGGGGACACTTTTCYTGGCAGCATCGCTATGTGTGTTAGCATGCTAATGTTATTGTTGTAGCAGCGTTCTCCATAACTGGTAGCGAGTTGCAATTTCGCTGTTTATAATAATGACAGACGTAAAAAAAAACGTTACTGTTCACCATTGCTGAATGTAGTAATACCTCTGCAGTGATGTGCACCAATAGATTTCATGCTCAACATAAATGTATGGAGACGCTAACATAAAAAGTCTGTGGGAAGTGGTTTTGTACTGGGGTTGAGTTGACAGGTGCACGGAGGCTGAGTCGTCTCGTTAAGTTTTATTAAATAATTTAAAATGTTAGACAGATAAAGATCTTTGCTCAGCCCTCCTCCTTCACAACCGAACCAAACTGTGACTACTGTCTACAACCAGGCAGAGGATAAAAGACACGCAGAGGAGGGAAACAGTGACAGAGTAAAAGGAAAAAGTCAATAAATAGGTTTCTATGCTGCAGAAAGAGAGTAAATTCAGCTGACTGGTTGGCTGATCAATAAGCAACTTTTTGTACATTTTATTATCAGCTGAGCTGTGGCCAAAAGAAAAATACCATCAAATACTGTGATTCTGGTATAACTGTTGAAAATACTGTGATATAAAACATCGTATCATAATAGTCTTCTAAGTATCTGTTATATTAACACAAAAACACATTTTACCTTCCTTGGCTGATAGTCCAGCTCCCGCTCCCTCTCTGCTCTCTCCTGCTGCTCAACGACAAAACAACAACAAACTTTTATCTCCAAAGTGTTGAAGAGAAGAAGGTTCTCCCTCTTTCAGTTACCAGGTTTCACTAATCAAGACATGAGAAACCTGATCTGGTCTTTATCAGGTTCTAAAATGATTCCAATCAAACCTCTAATTAACAGAATCCGTCAAGTCGTTTAATTGATTAATCGTTTTTCTGATTTTTGTAACATTTTGTTCTTAAATGTGTAAAAATCTAATGAGATTATTTTAAAGCAGCAGGTTCTTTTTGGCGTTACAGCCTTAAATATAAAATCAAATATTTCCGAGGGACTTCCTGACTGAAAGTTAATATTGTCCTTTATTATAATAATAATAATAATAATAGAGTTTTCAGACAAAGTGCTGAACAGTAGCAAGAGATAAAAACACAACAAATTAAATGCAATAAAAAAAAAAAAAACATTAAAACACATTAGATAAAATGAACACGTGAGTCTTTAACTTTGCTTGAAAACCCTCCTGGGAACAGGCCTGATGTCCTGAGATAGTTCCACAGAGAAGGGGCACGAAAGCAGAAGGCACGTTCGCCAGTGGTTTTTCTTCTGGCTTTGGAATTAATAAAGTCCAGTCCCTTCAGATCTGAGAGAACGAGGTGGAACATAGGGGTGCAGGAGGTCAGTGAGATATGGGGGCGCCAGAACATTTACAGCCTTGTAGGTAAGCAGCAGGACCTTAAAATCAGCTTGAACCTGACAAGGCAACCAGTGAAGAGATGACAACACTGGGGTAATGTGCTCATATTTCTAGTATTAGTAAAAATGCGAGCAGACACATTTTGGACCATCTGTAGACCTCTAAAACTTTTCCTAGGTAACTCCGTTACAACAGTCGATGCGTGAAGTCACAAATGTGTGGATAAGAACCTCAGCATCATCAAATGAAAGAATGTGCCGGATTTTGGCAATGTTCCTAAGATGATAAAAGGCAGATCTTGTAACTTCCTTTAAGTGAAACTCAAAAGAAACACAGGATCAAACCACACACCCAGCTTTCTGACTTTTTCCCCACAGTTGTCAATTTTCAGTGTAAAAGTCTGGGACAAGCCATGGAACTTCTGAGGTCCAATAACCATTATATCAGTCTTGTCGACACTGAGAAACAGGAAGTTGTTAGAGCCAACCCCTAATTGCCGGTAAAGAGGCTTCCAGCTTGGTCAARTTGACACAGTTTCCAACAGAGAACAGGGCTGTGTATTGGCAAGAATTTGGCGATACGATACATATCATAACAGAGGGGTCACGATACGATATATCCTGATATATTGCGATACTGTAAGCAAGGCGATATATTGCGATTTTTTTTTGTCCAAAAATTCTATTAAATAAAAACCTCTTACTGAAAAGAAAAGAACAGCTAATGTTTACATTACAATGCTTACATTGTCTCCTACAATGCTAATGCTACCCTTACTCTCTGGCGCTCAAGAGGTAGAGGAGCCAAATGACTGGCTCACTGCTACCAACTAGTGGTCAGACGCTGAACTACAACATAAAAATGAACGGTTGGCAAGAAAGTTGACATTTTAAATCTTAATTAAAAATGATACAGGGCTTTAGAATATCGATACAGTATCGTGAAATGAAATATCGCGATATTTCAGTGTATCGATATTTTCTTACACCTCTAACAGAGAAGGACATATACAACTGTAGATCATCAGCATAACAGTGAAAAGTTACTTTGAATGCAGGAGATGACCAAGAGGCTATTTATATTAATTTTTACCGCTCGTGCCAGGCGGCTCCTCTGTTGGCGGCGGATGCTGTGCGGTGAGGGAAAGGTGGGCATGGGCGGAGCCACGGAGATGGAGATGGTCACCCTGTTCCTCTCCCGACTGGAGGAACTCTGATGCTGCTGTTCATCTGCAGAAACATGTGGTTAACACAAACGCTGGGAGAGATGTGCGTGACCAAACCAGCTCTCGAAGCCCCCTCACCTCGGTGCAGAGCTCTGAGGCTGAGCTGGGCGTTCCTGTGCAGCTCCTCCAGACACGGGGCTCGGGTGCAGGGGTGGAAAACGTTGTGTTGCTGATGCCATGGAGCCTGATAATGAGCCGACACCTTGCTCTCAACGTCCAGGTTTGACACGGCTTCAAGGAAAAGATGGAGACAGAATGTGTTAAAAGCTGCATCTCTACAGGTTTTACATGATAAATAATATAAAAGCCCTCTGAACTAAAGAAGAGAGGAACCATCCTGCCTCTCATCAACACACGGTTCAAAGGTCTGCCTCTATGATGGTATGGGGGTGCATTAGTACCTCTGGCATGCCCAAGCTACACATAGAACAACTTCTGTTCCCATCCAGGACTGAAGAACATCAAGAGTCCTCCATCAGACCAGAACAAGAATAACAAGTATTTTTACATAGATTTTTACATAGATTTTTACATAGATTTTATATAGATACATTGTTTTTTATTTATTTTTATCTATTTTTTATTGTTACATTTTATTTGTTTCTGTTACTTTTTACTCTTTGTANTGTTACATTTTATTTGTTTCTGTTACTTTTTACTCTTTGTACGGTGTCCTTGAGTGCCAGAAAGGCACCTTTGAAATAAAATGTATTATTATTATTATTATTAAGACAACAGGTCCTCTAAAACCTCCAGACCTGGTCTATTATTCTATTCTGGTGAATCTGTCCCTCATGTTTATCACTAATAAATTAAATAATTCTATTTGAGCACAAACACTTCAGGCTGCCTGAATGTCCTTTATGTTTTAAAGACAGTAGGAGAGAAAAGGACTGATCCTCCTTTATCTGCTGTAGTTTTATGATCCTATTTCATCTCTTTTAACTTGATATTCAACAAGCAGTCGCGTCCTTGAAAGGCTCGACTGCATCAGTAGCCAAGCAACCTTTCATCGCTCATCAAGGCTTTTATTTGCTTCCAATTAATCCTGCGAGCTCACGTCCAACAGCGTCGGGGTGATTGAAACTACAAGAAGCTCATTTACACAAAATAAACATTTTTTTCTTTATGTTTATCATTCAGGAGCAAAATGACTGAATCACAATCACAGACTGGTTTAATCATCTGTCATACAGACCTATGTTTATAATTATACTGGGGTCTCCAAATGGTGGACCTCTGTCTCTATTTAGACCCAGTGAAATCTCAGTTGTTTAATTTCAGTAGAATGTGTTTTTTGGCCTTTTCAGTAATTTATTTTAAGCAGCACAGCTTTTCTAGTCCATTACCTTCTATTTTCTATTAAGTTCTTTCTATAGTAAAGCAGGAACATTAGTTTGACTTTCAAACAAAAACAAAGGTTTTTACCCTGACATGACTGAAGATAGACAGTCATTTTCAAAAGTTTCAAACTTAATTAAAATAAGACTATTCTCAGAAATAATCGTTTTTAACACAAATTACCACATTTTCTTGTGATTTATTAACCCGAATCAGGGACCTGACTTATCTTAGTCCGCAGTGTTTCTGGTGAATCGTTAACCCGAATCAGGGACCTGACTTATCTTAGTCCGCAGTGTTTCTGGTGAATCGTTAACCCGAATCAGGGACCTGACTTATCTTAGTCCGCA